AAGAGCACCTCACAGAGCAGTGGTCCAGGTGCAGAGAATGGCAAAGAAAATGGCTGTGGTGGGGGGATAGATATGGTAGATTCCAGAAACAGCGAGGACAGCCCAGCTGCATAGAAGAGAACAAGTGGATGCAATTAGGGATTATCTGAGAGTATATAGATGAAGCAGGTCTTTACTCTCTGTTTATGAGTGGCTTCTACACTGAATGAAATTACAGGACATCGAAGAGTTTGAACAGAGAGCAGGGGCATAAGAAGGGAGAAGTGATGAGGTCATGGTGATTATCCAATTGAGAGATAAGAGTAGCTTGAACCAAGGTGTTAACTATTGGAAAGGTGAGAATATTCAGATTGTTGATGCACTGTGTTGTGAATATAGAGCCATGGAACAGGCTAATGGATTTGATAATGGGTTGAGAGGAAAAATGGATTAAACCATAACTCCAGGGTTTCCAGCGCTTGCAACTCGAAGCTTGAAGTTGATCTTACCTGAGGTGGGGGAATACTGAGGCTGGAGCAGATTTTAGGAGATGAGAATTCAGTTTTAGACATATAACAAACAAAAAGGAATTTTATATGCCTACAGTCCTAGATACTAAGGAGGCTGAGACAGAAGGAACACTTGAGCCTAGGGATTTGAGACTGTACTGTACAATGCTCATGTTTGTGAATAGCCACTACACTCCAGCCTGGGCAACATACTAAGATACTGTCTTTAAAACAGAAAGGAAAAATAATTGTATTTCTTAGTAATCTGTATTTCATTTCTCTATGTTTTCTTGATCTTTTCTTTTTGGGATGAGGGCTTGCTCTGTCATCCAGACTGGAGTGTAGTGGCATGATCATAGCTCACTGCAACCTCAAACTCCTGAGTTCAAGTAATCTTCTCACTCCAGTTTCCCATGTAGCTAGGGTTGCAGGTGTGCACCACAATGTATGGCTAATTAAAATAATTTTTGTTTTGTAGAGACAGTTTTTTCTATGCTACCCAGGCTTCCTTTTGTATTTTTAGTTGCTTTGAAATCTTATTGCAAGGAATGCTGTGTGCAAGACTGCCAAAATTTTAGAAGTTATCAAAACGTTTTGACAAAACACATAATTTTTGTAAATACTCCATAAATACTTTGGGATGAAAGTGTATGGTTATTATGCAAATAGTGTTCTTTCTGTCTCATATTTACTCTATTACCACCCGTTAAGTCAAAATTTCATTATTTCAATCTTCCTATTGGGATTTCTTTGTTGTCTTTTTGTTCTCTCAAACCTTAAGGAAACACTGGAGAAAAATCTTCATATTTTGAGTTTCCTTTTAGCAATTATGTCTATTGGGTTTGAATTATAATGTGATGATTATATTACTCACTTTTTATCCTTTTTATCATATGTCTGAAATTTGTTTCATATATAGAAATTTAGTAAGTATAGAAAAATATACAAATCATGGTATTGTATCTTGATGATTTTTTACAAATTGGACATGACCTGTGATGCAAACACTGACTTCAACATGTAGATCGTATCAGTGCAATAGAAGCTCACATTAGGATGTTATGAGGTAGGAATCATAAAAAGTCCATGTTTAGGCAGCTTTCCCCATCTCTGGAGCATGTGACTTGTTCATTTATGAGCTTGAAATTTTATCATGACGAATGATAGGGGAGGGATCCTTGGACTGGATTCAGTGAATGAGACCCTCTTTCCTCAGGATCACTGACACATTTCTCATTGCACATTGCTTAGGGAGAATGTTTCCCTAAGTGTTCTTGGCAGCCTTACTGTCATTGGGAAAGAATATCTTCCATCAGAACAGAACTTGCTCCATGAACACAGAGATGAGAAAAAGAAAAGAAAAACCTTGGTGTGAGCATATCATCTGCAAGTGGATCCAACCAAGCTTGCAGATTCATTCACCTGTGCATGCACCTGGGACAGACCCGCTGGTCTCTTTCATTGCTCAGGCCAGTTTAAGCTGAGGCCCAAGTCTCCTGATTCTCATATATACCCTTTGAGATTAATATCATTATTTTTATTTTACAGAGAAAGTCTTAGAACTGGAAAGTTCAATGATGTTCTCTAAGTCATATAAGCTAGTCCAGATATTTGTCTCCAAGATAAAAACTCTGGGTATGAAATTAACAGTATTCGCATTTTTTTCTCAATTGTTTCAGAGACTCTATATTTTTTTCCCAAAAAGATAAAAATCTCAGGGTTGAGGAGCAGCCAGACTTTCTACAAAAAGAATTCAATATACTTTCCTTACCTTATTTCCCATCATTGCACAAACTATGCATTCTGTCCCATCAAATCCTAGGTCACCTGTGTTTGCTAACACCCTCCACACACTTCCCTTCTCAACCTATTGACAAAATTTTTACAGCCTGTCTTCACCTCTGTGAGAGATGGTGGAATTGAGTCTCTTGTGTGAATGGGAGTTCATTCCCCATAGACATTGGGAGGAGTGGGGCTCCAAGTGTGTGCTCTTGAGCTTTCTCACCTGAGGGGCCCAGTTCAAGCCTCTTTAGTTATGCAAAATTACTGGAAGATCTTTATGAAGTGATTCCATACACTCCTGGGAGGGATTCTCCAGGGCATGTGATTCTATGTCAAATAATGTAATAAGAGGAGTGCACTGAATCATTCAGTTATGTTTATTAATAGGTGGCTTTTGACTAAATCTGATAAAGTAGCATGAAAATTAAAGAACAGAGCCAAGAGGTAAGAAGTGCAGATTCTTGCCTGGTAGTGAAGACAGAGGCTGACAATGTTGGTCATTTTCCTGTTTGTATTTCTCCACGCTGATAGTTAGAAATGCTGTTGAAATGATGTGTAAGTGCTCAGGAATGGGTAGGAATGGCTGAAAGATTTGAATCAGTAGGCTTTTGGTTTGATGTAAGTCAATTTCTGTTCAGAGAAAAGTTCAGGTGATAATCAGAGGTATTTTGCATACACTAACATCACATGTTGGAAGGGAGGAAATTTGATCAGTAAGTCCAACACTTACCTCTTTCCATCAGTAGGGTGAAGCTGAGGGAAGGGACTGATGCTCCTAAATATTACTTGTTATTAAATTTTTCAAAATACAATTAGGATCTTCCAAAGGTAGAAGAAAGATGGAGCATGGTCAATTGTTTTTTTACCATTTAGGACAATTTTGTTCCTTTGCATGCTCTTAACCAATCCTATAAATGTTTTTTATTTTCTATATGATACCTAAATTTTCTAATTTTCAAAATATGCCCACTTTAATATATTTGGGACTGAATACACATTGTACTTTTGTTCCCCATTAAGTCTGAGGTTGAAATAATTTGAAATAATTAGAGGCTATTTTACTAATTTAGGAGATTTTTTGGCATCCAATATATAATTATTGTGGTCTATATGGACATTTGATTTTAATAAATGACTATGATTTATATAAAACTCAGGAAGAAATCAAGTTGTATTCTACTGTCTGCTACTATCCTATAGATCTGCCCTCAAGACAACATTATATGTCTTCAGCTTGCTGGGTCTGTCTTCCCTCCTGGCTTGCTAATTTCCCACAGCAAATTTCCTCTGGTTTTCAGTACATCCCACAAAGGCCAGTATGCCTCCATTTCAGTTCTGTGGTGATACCAAGCACTTTTTGACTTGAACCAGACAGCCTTCCGTCTTTCACCTAATGGCTCTTCCACCCAGGACGTCATATGATCATAGTTGTTTATCCTCCTTTTCAGGTGTATTCTTTCCCTTAATTTAAATTATAAAGGATTTGTTATAATTACCAATAATTTTGTGTACTTGCTTGTTTTAGACACTTTATTCCTTAAAAATACTGTCTAGATTTTTCTGAGTTTTGAATTAACTTATTCTAGAAATACTGGTTTAACATCCATTGTGAGCCAGGAGGCAAACACAATATTTGCTCTCTTGGACTTATGCCCTAGTAAGGTATAAGAGGCAGTTGTTGCAGAGTCCTTGAGTAGGAGGAGGGTGGTACTATTTATGTACCATATTGATTAAAGGGCTAGAAACTGTGTTGTGTAGTTTGCGTGGCTGTTGATAATTCCAGTCTCAAATGTATTCTTGCATGTATGGAGCCTAGAAAATGGCAGGTGATCAATACATGCTTGCTGAATAATTAAAAATTAAATGAAGGATTTGATGATGAGGATAGTGGGAAGAGAGAAGGAAGAGATAGAAGGAGAGATGAAACATTAAGTTGTAGTTCTACAGTGTATTTAAAAAATGGGCATTTCTTTTTAAGTTATGGTCTCAAGGATGGGCCTTAGAAATCTAGTCCTCAAAACTTCTACATCTGTGTAAATTCCAGTATAATTGGCCAGGTCCACTTTGGGAAGCTATAAATAAGTCTGAAGCCAATTTGCGTAGTCTATAGGTCACTGAAGATAGTTGCATCTGAAAAACAACTCTCTGTGTGTGTTTCTACAGCACATTTTCATCTCTAACAAAGTCATATATAGGCATCTTGAGTCTAATAAAGATTTTCAATAAATTTACCTAAAATTTGATGCAACTTTGAATTATGATGTTTTTATCAAAATATTGGGTAGATTATTCAATCTATCTAATTTTAACATTTTATATCTGTGGTGTTAAATTTTGTATTTAAATTAAATTGAATAAAATTAATGATAAATGATGTTATGGGATTAGAATCTAAGCTATAAAATATTTGTTTTAAGACTATGTTCGATTTTCAAACTACAAGAGTATATAAGTTGAAATAGAACTTCAGTATCATTATGCACTTTTTAGACAAGATTTATGAGCAAAGAATTCTTCATTTCTACTTTTATATTTGAAATATTTATTAATTCATGTATCTGGCCATTATCCAAAACTGTCAAAGAAAATTTCTGACAGGATGAGTTCCACTTCTCATCTTCTGCCAGAATTTCTGGGATGAGTGCAGACTGGAAATCTCAGCTAATGGATTGTGACTTCGTTCTTTATATTCCATGTCCGCACAAACAACATAGGGCTCCACTACTGAAAATGAAAAGGCAAAATCAAAGCTCTGTGGTTGAATTCGTTCTCCTGGGCTTTTCTACTTTTCCTGAACTCCAAGACCAGCTGTTTTGCATTTTCTTGGTTATTTACCTGGTGACCTTCATGGGAAATGCCATCATTATAGTCATCATCTCCCTGGACCAGAGCCTCCATGTTCCCATGTACCTGTTCCTCCTGAACTTATCTGTGGTGGACTTGAGTTTCAGTGCAGTCATCATGCCTGAAATGCTGGTGGTCCTCTCCACTGAGAAAACTATAATTTCTTTTATGAGCTGTTTTGCACAGATGTATTTCATTCTTCTTTTTGGTGGGACTGAATGTTTTCTCCTGGGAGCGATGGCTTATGACCGATTTGCTGCAATTTGCCATCCTCTGAACTACCCTGTGACTATGAACAATAAAGTTTTTATGAAATTAGTAATATTTTCCTGGGTCTTAGGTTTTATGTTAGGTGCTGTGCAGACCTCGTGGGTATCTAGTTTTCCCTTTTGTGGTCCCAATGAAATTAATCATATATCTTGTGAAACTCCAGCAGTGCTAGAGCTTGCCTGTGCAGACATCTTCTTGTTTGAAATCTATGCCTTTGCAGGCACCATTTTGATTATTTTGGTTCCTTTCTTGTTGATACTCTTGTCTTACATTAGAATTCTTTTTGCCATCCTGAAGATGCCATCAACCGCTGGGAGGCAAAAGGCCTTTTCTACATGTGCCTCTCATCTCACATCTGTGACCCTCTTCTATGGAACAGCCAGTATGACTTATTTGCAACCCAAATCTGGCTACTCTCCAGAAACCAAGAAACTGATGTCACTGTCTTACTCATTGCTTACACCTCTACTGAATCCTCTTATCTATAGCTTGCGTAATAGTGAGATGAAAAGGGCATTGATAAAAATATGGAGAAGAAAAGTGATTTTACATACAATCTGACTGTGTTCAGAAATCATGTAAGATTTGGTCACTGTCCAACTATGCTCTATTTAGGTTTAATGAATTTTGAAAACAGTTTGTATTACTTGATCTGAGTACTATGCTTCTTTTGTTGAGTTCTCAAAGTCTAATCATACATCAAGGACATCTTTATATGGCAATGCTTTGATTCTTTTTATAGATGCATAATATTTCTAAATATGGGATATAACACAATTTCTTCAATAATTTGTTTAGTAGTAGCTCTTTTGATAATAATTTTTTGCCATAATAGATAATACTAAAACAATAGCCTGATTTTCTATGTTCATGAATTCTGGTGCTTTGATTTTTTTTTTTTTTTTTTTTTTGAGACATAGTCTCAGTATTTCATACTCAGTAGAGTGCTAGGGCATCACAGGTCACAGCAACTTCAAACTCTTGGGCTTAAGTGAGTGTCTTGCCTCAGCCTCCCAAGTAGCTGGAACTACAGGGGCCTACCACAATGCCCAGCTATTTTTTTGTTGTAGTTGTCATTGTTATTTTAGCAGGCCCAGGCCAGGTTTGAGCTTCCTGGTGCCCTAACCACTGGGTATGGGGGCTGAGCCTGTTGCTTTAATTTTTACAGAATTATTTTCACACAGTAAATTTGAAGGGTGAAAGCAAATGTGAGCTTGTTATTTTTCATAGATATTACTGGTTAACTTTTTAAGTCTTTATTTCCATTTTAAGTACTTCTGATCCACCTAAGACCAACTGTACCTCACTGACTGAGTTGAACTCCAAAAGGCCTGTAGGTAAGGAAGTACAACAAATCAGGTCACATTACTTCTAAATGTGAAGTATATTCTGGGAATTTGTATGGTTAAGGAGATAGAAATTGTCTATCTCCTCTTCTAAATTTGGCCATGGTGTAATAAATTTATGTCATTCTGATGAATAGAAATTGCTACTGTGCTTCACACATAACAGCCTAATCATGTCGTTTCTTCATACTGTTCTCTGTGGTAGTTTTTAGTTACAGTCACTGCAGCTGCTATTGCTGATAGTTGACTAGTTTGTATCCATTCTCTCTTTTCTTCTGTAATAAACCCCAATTTCCTTAAAGGTAGCAATAGATACTCTAAAATAAGCAGTTTCTCAGTTTCTCTTATAAATGAGGGTGACTTGTGACACAGTTTTGACTATATGTGGGTGAACATCCTTGGGTGAGGCTTCTGTGAAAACTCTTTAAAAGAGCGTGACTTAATTAATAGGAACTTTTTGCTTTGTCCTTTCCCTTCCTTCTACCTGAAAGCAGCCTTGAGACTACAGGTAGAACAGCTGTATTGCAACATAAGTTACAAATGTGAGGAGAAAAGCCAGTCTCTAAAGAGGCGGAGTGGAGTTTGGGTCTGGGGTGCGCTGTGCAGCTTACCCTCACATCCCGCTCCTCTTTCTTTACTGTTACTTTAGACAAATAAACCTTGTCTTTGTTTGATTCACTGTTTGATGGCTTCCTATTGCAACAAAACCTGATTCAGACTGATATTGTTAACAAAGAGTGCATTTGAGAAAACTTACATGGAATAGAAAATTTAGCACTTTTGCCTACAACTTAGTTAAGACTTAAGGTTAGAAAATTAGAAAAAAAAACCTTTTTATTGTTTAGATCTGAAAGACAAATTGTGGGACTACAATACTAGTGGTCATGAATAAAGTTTGACAAGAAAAAGAATATTCTAGATATTTGGTTTTATTCCAGAATAAAAAATCTTCATTGCTGCTCAAGGGGCAGAACAATGTCCTCTGTTCTTGTTTTCTAGTATCTCAAGCCACAGGAGATGGCTCAACAGATTTGTCTAGAGGTAACAAGATATCTTCACCAGAGATAAGGTCAACCAAAACCACCAACTACAGTTAAGAAAGAATAATTTCAAGAGCCATGACATTTGATACTGATCACATAGGCCTGAGCTCAACCTCTGACTCTTCCCCTACCAACAAGCCATATATTTCTGCTTTAAGGATGGGCTGCAGTTTATTGAGATGCTGGCCTGTTGTCTTTCTAATTTGCTAGCAAATAATAAACTTCTCTTTCTTTTTTCCCCAAATCACTTGTCTGCATTCTTCATTCTCTCTGATTTAGCCTTGAAGACCAGTACCCAAATTTGGTAATAAAATTCGGCATTCTTGGGTGGGCCTATCAGTGCCATGGTGCCCATGTGCCCTTGTCTACCAGTGCTCCATGACCACTGCAAGGCTGGAAGATGCAGAGAGCAGCTCCAGGTCAAGCTGTGGGTGCTTGCCAGTAGGAGTACTGTCTTTTCTTAGTGAGAAAGTGAGAAGCCACTCCAGAAGCTCCTAGCACTAGTTTAGCTCTGGTGAACTCCTATTTATCCTTCCCCAAATTAGATGCACCTTCTCACCACCTAAATCTGGTTGAAGAAAAACAAAGGGATTTGGGAACAGTCATGACACCTGGGCCTTGGCATTAAGAGTGAGTTTATGTTAGGAATTCTCTACAATGTCCACTTGTCAACTTGTGTTTGTTGCTGTTGTTGGTAAGTTTTGTTTTGACATGGGAAGCTCTGTTTTTATTCCATCTGAAAGTACCTTGGGGAGAATCTTGGCTAAATGGTCAACTTGTAGCTATAAGCCTACGTGTAAAAAGAAGAATGATGTTTTATTATAATACTGCTTGGCCAATGTATGTGCTGCAGTGGTTCTCAACCTTCCTAATGCTATGACCCTTTAATACAGTTCCTCAACCATAAAATTATTTTATATAATTATTAATAATTTATAAAATTATTTGTTCATCACCAGTATATGCTCATCTGCCATAAGTAATATAGTCAGTAGATCCCTCTGAATCTTTAGAATGCATCAGGCATATCAGAAACACACAAATATGTATAAAATTATTTTATATAATTATTAATAGTTTATAAAATTATTTTATAAATGATTTTATAATTTTATGGTTGGGGGTCACCACAACATGAGGAACTGCATTAAAGGGTTGCGGCATTGGGAAGGTTGAGAACCACTGTGCTAGAGTGTGAGCAGAAGTGGGTGTTAAATGGAACCTTAAATTATTGTACTGTTTTACAACTGGAATTATTTTGTCAAAGGTCAGGACAAGATCTCAAGATTTTATGCTATTAGGTAATAAAGAGTCTGAAAGGCCTGAGACAAAGTTAATGGTACAAAGGGAAGCTCCACAACCAGTGTCTGAGGCTAGTCAGACACCAGTGTGTGATGAAATTAAGGAGGAACTAACCAGGTTGTATTTCATGAGCCCTTTCAATCCAAGCCTCACAGAACCTGCTCCCCTTAAGCCAGCTCCCCTGTCACTGCCATTGCTGGTGCAGGGGTCTATAGTTGGGGAAGGTGCAACTGGAACTGATTCTTCAGTCCCATACCCAACAGGTTATGACTTGAGAGTGGGAATGGTCTCTTTTTCCCAAGACCTGGCAGGAAACCCAACTTGGCCAGAGGGTATTCACAGCTGGGACAGGACAATTTTCATTATGGCAATATCTGATAGGAGGCTTGAATGCACTAGGACAGCTGGCAGGGTATTATTGGATTTCCACCCCATTTTCTACCTTTAACTTATTGAATTGGAAAAATTCAAACCCAGCTTGTAGAAAGGACTCTCAGATAATGACAGAATTGTTCACAACCATCTCTGTGAGACACTGCCCCCCTTGGGTGATATTGCTGCCCAATTGCAAGCCCAATTGAATATATTACTTATTGCAGATGAAGAGATATTGCAAGCCCAATTGAATATATTACTTATTGCAGATGAAGAGATACTGGTGATGGACAAGGCCAAAAGGGAGAAACAGCATCTCCATTGTAAAGATCCTAATTAGACCTCTGACCCCAATGCTGCCATTCTGATGGCAGAACCAAACTGGGATACTAATGCAGGTGCAGACAGTGTGGGAATAAATCGTTACCAAAAGTATATTCTAGAAGGCCTCCAGAGGGGGGTGCTTAGACAGAAAAGCTTAAACAAGGTCCAAGAATTACAAGAAAAAACTAATGAAGATCCCTCTGAATCTTTAGAATGCATCTATCAGGCATATCAGAAACACACAGATGTGGATCCAGAGACCCCTGCAAATGTGCACACATTTAATAAGAGTTTATAGGGAATTGCGCCCCAAATATAAGGAGGGAACTACTGCATTGTATAAGGAAAAATTAGCAGGAATCCCCTACAGCTTGTTGATATTGCCTTTAAAATATATAATCCTAGAGAAGAACAGAAACTGATATCTGTGTGTTCTGGTAGCTGCTCCAACCCAGCGTCCTCTGAGACAGTCAAAAGATAAAATATCTAGGGTGAAAAAGCTTCCTTAGGTTGAAGTACAATCAATGTGCTTTTGTAAAGAGGAAGGACTCTAGAAAACACACTGCCTAAAATTGCAAAAGGCTCCAGGTGATGAGAAACTCCCAGGGGAGCAGATGGTTTCTTAAGCCCAGGATTCGGATGAAGAATGAGGGGCCCTGAAACTTCATGCCTCCAAATATCCCTATGGGAGCCCCAGGTACAATTGACAGTGGGAACTTGATTAGTGGACTTTTTAATTGACACAGGAAGTACCTTTTTGTTTTAAACTCTAAACTAACTTCCCTTAGCAAGGACATGATGGGAGTGGTCAGGGTAACTGGTCAGATCCCAACAACACAGGCTCCAACCTCTTGAATGCCAAGTGGAACAACAGAAGTTGAGACATAGTGTCTTATTATATATGCCAGGCTGCTAATAACTATGCTAGGGTGTGATTTGTTATGTAAGATGAATGCCCAAATAACCTTTTCTCCAGAGAAGCAACAACTCTACCTGCAGTTCTCACCCAAAAATGCTCTCCAGTTTCCAAGTCTACTCACTGACAAGGAAAAAGAAACAAACTCCATTCCTTTCAAGGTCTATGGAAAAGCTCATAGGGCCAATGGTAACCTGGGATGTGCCATAATAGCCACCCCAATTACCATTCTGTTAAAACAAGGGGCCCCACAGT